GAAGTTACAGGATTTAGTCAGAACTTACAAGAAGTCGTTCCTATTGACATAAAACCTGTAAGTGGGAACATTTTTAAGAGAGTAACTGTGCAACTGTTCATAGTCAGAAGTTACAGGATTTAGTCAGAACTTACAAGAAGTCGTTCCTATTGACATAAAACCTGTAAGTGGGAACATTTTTAAGAGAGTAACTGTGCAACTGTTCATAGTCAGAAGTTACAGGATTTAGTCCGGAGTTCTTTTTCCTGTAAGTTCATGAAAAGTGTCAAACGATCAGCTGATTTACATGTGAACACAAAAACAGAAAGCGGTGAAAGCAAATAACCTTATATTTGTTAAAAAATGGAAGTAATCAACGAAATATTTGAATATGTATAGATTTTAATAATTATTTAGTGATATTTCAGCAAAATCAGTGTTGCACCAATGACATGTAAACAAACCGACTGACGTTTTTACAGGAATTAGTGCTTTTTGCGTTCCCGTGCACTTCCTCATCTGTTCTCCTTTTAATCTCACTTGAGACAGTAAAATTGTAGTTTGACATTTCCACAGATTTTAGTCCGAAGTTTAAAGGAACAGATTAATAGCCAAATTTGTGTTGAATATGTATAGATTTTAATAATTATTTAGTGATATTTCAGCAAAATCAGTGTTGCACCAATGACATGTAAACAAACCGACTGACGTTTTTACAGGAAATAGTGCTTTTTGCGTTCCCGTGCACTTCCTCATCTGTTCTCCTTTTAATCTCACTTGAGACAGTAAAATTGTAGTTTGACATTTCCACAGATTTTAGTCCGAAGTTTAAAGGAACAGATTAATAGCCAAATTTGTGTTGAATATGTATAGATTTTAATAATTATTTAGTGATATTTCAGCAAAATCAGTGTTGCACCAATGACATGTAAACAAACCGACTGACGTTTTTACAGGAATTAGTGCTTTTTGCGTTCCCGTGCACTTCCTCATCTGTTCTCCTTTTAATCTCACTTGAGACAGTAAAATTGTAGTTTGACATTTCCACAGATTTTAGTCCGAAGTTCAAAGGAACAGATTATTAGCCAAATTTGTGTTGTTGTTTTGTGGGTATTTCGTCATTTAAGCGAGTGTTCTTTTGTAGCTCGTTTGCAAAAGAATGGAGCTACTAGTATTTAAGTAATTTGTTGTTCAAATTTTTTGCACTTCCATTAGCAAATTTTCATATAAAAAGTGCAGCTACCACTTGTACTTGCATAAATGCACGATCTTTTCAATGTTCATGTGTGATTTGTGTACAATAAATGTATCTTATTTTATTTTTTAACAATATACCTAAAACGCGTTTAACCATTTCATTACTTTTCTTCAACAAAGTAAACACGCAAAACAATCAAAATGGCTGTATTACCCGAACAGAAGCGTGCTACCACATGTTCGAAAATTAGGGACAGTAAAATACCCAACTTCTATTTCATAATAGGTAAGTAAAAAATTTGTAATAGTTTTACCAAATTTTTACTGTATGGCGTTCGATAACAACAAAAAATTATCCAACACACAAAAATTGAGAGAGCAAGCGTTCATTTTGATGCAAGAGAAGCGTTCATTTTGTACTGGCAAAATTTTAGTCAGCAAAAATTATCCAACACGAAAACATATGATCACAAAACATATGGTTGCAATTTCTGTAAACTAACAAAATTGCATTTTCCGAGTTTTGGTATTTATATGCTTTTTGGCTGCCTGCTATGTGACTTTATGATAGCGCCAACTAGTTTTTACTTCTAGAAATGTTCCTGGCGAACATTGAACGTTCACTTTCCTTTTTTCTTCTATGCAGGCAACATGAATTTCAGTTTGTTTACAAATAAAACATAAACAAAGTCAGCTGGTGTGTCTTCTTCTTCCGGTTTTTGCAAGTAATGGCTAATTTCCTGTTCGTTTACTTTTTTGCTTTTCATCTCTTTGGGAGAGAATTTTCGCTTACTCTCTTGATTTTGATTGTTGGCTGGTGTTGGCTAATTTTGTTATCGAACGCAACTAATGACACGACAGTCGGGTCTACGTAACCGGAACGACCCAGATTTATATCTGGCCAAGGACTGTCACTCCAGCAACACTCCCCAAAAAGTCTTTGGGGAATTTGTATGCTGCTACAACAACAACAATGACACAGCATAAGGGTAGGTTTGAATATTTGCTTTTTAAATAACCTCTAAAAAATTTCAATTATGGCCACTTTTTTTAACAAAAATTTATGTTTTTCTTGGAAAATACATAATAATCCATATTTTTTGCATTTTTTATTAAACAATATTAAAAAAGCAAATATTTACGCCTGCATCGATATTTTTTATAATATAAAATATTTAAAAAAGGAAAATTTGGAATAAAAAATCGCGCGTAATCAGTAACCATAATAGACACCATAATAGGTTTACCACACTGAAAGGGAATTCTAGTTACCTCATCCTTTCCCAAGCCTACATCACTGAGGCGGTAGCCCCAGTTGTTGCACACCAAAAGGAGAATTCAATTTACAGCCCTATTCCGGTTTTGAAATAGAATGACAATTAATCATTCTACATTATCGCGATTTTGTCATTGTCGTTGCACGTTGGCATTCCTAACAAAAAATGACAAGCGAAAAGCTTTTGTCAACTTACCATGCATGGTGAAAAGTTCATTGTTGTAGAAACAGCTGGTCAACGCTATTATTTGCAAAACATATGAGCGGTGAAACGCCAGAAAAGTGAGTATTTGTGTGAAACAGATAAATTCGTATATTCATAACATTTATAAACATTTTGGACGTCCAAAATATGAGCGAACGACGCAGGAGCAGCTCGTGTTCCACAAGCACGGCTGCGCAAATAACTAAAATTTGTTCTGCCATTGAAATTAGTCAATTTTTATATTTTTTTCACAAATTTATTAAATCGTCGCACTTTTTATATCAACACAAACATATGTTTTTGCCTTGTCACCTGCCCAAAAGGGCATGACAATAAAAATGACAATTGGCATGATTCCAGCTTTTGAATTTTGCTGGGCATACCAAAAAGCTGCAGTTGTCATTTTTATATCAATTCCCAATAAACATTGGGCTTGGTTACCAATTCGAAAATGATTGGAAAACTAACATTTTTTCAAGTCTCACCTTTGATAACGAATGTGGAATAGGTTAGCATTCGATTCGAAAACTAGGCCATTCTCCAGCAAAACGGAATCTTCGTTATCCAATGAATTTTTTCTTCGTTATGAATTCGAAATCCAGCCCATTATCGAATTGAAATTTTAATGAGAGTGATTGCATTATATTTCCATCCGAAAATGAGCTGGATTTCACTTCCTCTCTTGTTACTATGGTTTTTATTTTTTCTCGAACCCATCTCGAATGAATTTCCAATACACTATGAGCGTTGGAAAACTAAGGTTGGTTTTGAGTTCATTCTCAATTCGATATTCATATTGGATATCGAAGGTAATTTTCGAACGTTCGCAAAAATGTTTATAGGGTTGTCATCGCGGCGAGTTTTGTCAGTGTGGCGGAATAGGGCTGTTAGTAAGGGCCGAAGGCCGCCTACGCAAGAAGGAATTCTACGCAAAAATACTGTGGACGCAAGTAAAAATTGTGATTTTTGGGCATTTTTCTAAAGGGTCCCTATGGACATATAGGTGGCCTAGGTGGTGGTGCATTTTTGTCAATGGCGGTTAATGCCCTCTCCAAAAAGGTGGGTTGGTGGCATCGTACAGTTGCATAAGTAAAAACACTATCAGCTGATTGCCAAAAAATGCCTACAGCTGAGATCACCTGTTTTTTGGCATGTGCTCTTATCTTTTACAATTTCTTTCATTTCTATTACAATTTCTTTTATTTCTATTACAATTCATTCAAAATACACTAACACACTGAACCAAAAATACCAATACACTAACCAAAAACACACCTACAGGCTGCCAAACACACACCTACAGCCTGCCAGAAAAAACGGTATGTGACTTTACTTATGGAACTAGAACCCACTACCCTTCGCCCACCCTCCTTTAATGAACGCCCGTATTGGAAAGTTCCCCCTAACTCGGCCCTGTCAGCTAAAGTGCACTTTTACCTATGGCTATGTCTAATTGTCTGGATTATGTTATACACACTCTGCGCAGAAATAATGTGAATGGAATAGTCAGATGAATTTTGATAAGTTTATGAAAACAAATTTTATATAAAATGTATTTGCACCGAGAACTTGGGTACATACATACCCATATCAAACGAAAGGGAAATTAATATTTTTTTATACTTAAAGAACGACAACACTATCTTAATAAGGCGTTTTGAAAAAAAGCAGTTTAAATGGAATTTTTTCACATATATTTTATAAAAACCAATTTTTATCAGAAATTAGAAATGCAAGGCACAAGGAATGCAGACCAAAAGAAAGGTGTATTCATTTCCCTTAAAACCATATACTAACTTTTACAAACGCTTTACTAGTTTTGGAGATATTACGGTTTTTCAAAAAGCAAATTTCGATCTTTGACCTTCGATATCTCGCTCAATTTTAATTTCTGCAAGTAAATTTGAGTACCGTTATAATCAGCTCAAAAAGCTCTATCGACTCCTATTTTTAGTTTTTTTCTAGCGAAACGGTGGGTATTCTTTACTTGTTCCGGGAATTCCATAAATATTCTTATTAAGTCTCATCTAAAAATTCCTTGTCGTTTAAAGAATGGAGGGAATTCCACATTATACTATAGCCAGCTTACAGACATAAGCTACTATTCTATACGAACACAAGATTTTGAACTATTATTGATAGAAATGACCAATATGCGCAACTACGGTTAAATGCCGAATTCGGACTTAGTTGTGTAATAAAGGCATTTCCATCAATTATAGTTTAGAAATAAAAGATACTGATGCTTTGGATGAATTTCTGAGCGCAGCCTTAATTTAATTTCATAAAGGCTGGCTCACCATTCCCTAGTGACACTCTGATGCAAATAAAAACAAGTTTATATTTACATGTAATTATCTGAAACGGTTATTTATTCGAATTGTTTGCAATAGTGATATATAACTCATTCATATCATTGTTATCGATTTCATTTTTATATAAATGTATGTATGTATATATAAGTAGTATGTATGCGTCGTAGATTTTAATGATTTTGGCCAAGATATATTCAAAACGATAGAAGTGACAACAAAATCTAACTTTATTTGTAGCTGACTATAATGCCAAAAGTTATAAAAAATTTAAATTAAACAAATACATTTTTTAATACAATTTGAAATAATTTCTTCTACGTTACATTTCAGTCGCAATCTAGAAAGAGAGAACCGTCCAAATCGCTTCTACCTTGTTGAATATGCCTTGATTTCGGCACAGTATGATCGGAAAAATTACTTACGCGCCCTATATCCTAGGTATAATAAAAAAAAAATATTTTGTATAGATTTAAAGTGAAAATTTATAGTAGATTTATCTCCGTCCTTGAATATCGTTAATTCACTGCGATTTCACCATGATTCCAAAAATATTTCACATGTTTTAAGGAAACAATATATAAATACAAGTTTAACTTAATCAATTTTTATAATATGTAAATTTGGAACATCGATTAGATGTTATTGTAATTATGTATGAAATAATAAGTTTCACATGCATAAGAAATCTGTCACGTATTTATACATAAAGACAGAATGCATATGTAATCTTAGTCAAATATGCTCCTTAAAATGAAAGTATTAATTTTAACACTTTTTTGTTTTTTTCTCAGTGCCACCACCACCACCAGAGATTTTGTCTGATTCACTGGATATCTTATAAATTCGCACTACCAAAAAATTTTGTTTTTGTTTGTTTTACTTATTGAACTGCAAATTATTTTATTCATCTTGTCGCATTATTTATGTAAGCTTTATTTCATTTCTTTTCTTTTACCCAAGAATTCCTGCTGTAGTAGGCATTCTACTTCTTGGTCATAATTTTTAAATATTCCAAAGCATTTTGAGCAGCACGCTTTTTAGCGTCAGTTGTAGTGGGTCCAGTGCCATGGCATACGGCAACTGGAAATGTTGAAAGCTGCACCAAGCATTGGCATTGGTCAGTGAAAGATTTCTCTTCTATGTCAACGTAAGTTACTTCGAACTGATTTTCATTAGCAATATCCGACAACAATTTCATGTAATCAATTTTGGGTCCTTTAAGACAAGTTTTCTGGAAATAGACAAAAAATAAGTTTGGTTTGAAGATTTGTTTAAAATAAATATTCATTACCAATAAATAGTTAATGATCTTGATGAGTAATGAATCTAAATATTTAGTACATACTACAAAGCTTTTAAACAAATTATCAACTCGCATCACATATTATGTAAAGGTCTGTGTACTTATATTAACGCAAATGTAAACGTGAATCCTTTAAGCAAACCGGAACTCATACTTAACACACATAATTAAAAGTGGTCACTAGACATTGTTTGTTACTTAAATTTTTGATAACTGCAATCAAATACCACTTTATTGATTTAATGTGCAATATGTGAATTAATTCATTTACATTGCATTAGAAATGTAAAAATGAAGTAACCAACGAAGCGAGTTTTTAACCTATGCGAAACGGCCCTTTGTCTCTTTGGAAAACACCTGAATTTAAAAAGAAATGTTTAATTTATTTAGTAGAATAATTGCGAAAATATTTATACTTAAAAAAAATGGTTTTTTCTTACCTACATATGTACATATGTATAGTGTATATACAGTGGTGGAAAAAATTATAGCCGCAGCCCATATTGACAAGTTTTAACAAATTATTTGTTTTTGTTATTAAATTTTAGTTATTGTGCATTAAAATATAGTTCATTCTTTAACGAAACCTATGTAAATCCAAGTTTCAAACTTTTGCAGTATTTTTAATAAAAGTATAGTTCATTCCTTAACAAAAACTGTGTAAATCCAAGTTTCAAACTTTGTGCTTTATTAAAAAAAAAGAGTTTAATAAACCTTCGTAAAAATTGCGATCTATGTATTTATTTAAGTTTCTTAGAAAAATTTAAAGGATGCAATTTTGTTGCCTATTGACTTCTAGTCGAATAAAGTGCAAGTTTCAAATGGCTAAAAATTTAGGTTTTTTTTACGCATTTGCTTCTATATAACGAATAAACGCAATTTATTTTTATATGGAAGAAAACCGTAACCTCTAAGAATAAAATAATCCTAAAAATCAAAAGTAACTTTTAGCTATTTGAAAATGTACTTTATTAAGGTGTAGTACACCTTTTTCAGCTTTAGTTCAGAAAGTTGCAATTCATATTCAGAAATTCCATTTCAAGTTCAGAAATTCAAGTTCAGAATTTCCATTTCAAATACAGAATTTTCATTTCAAATTCAGAAAGCTACAATTCAAATTAAAAATTTCCATTTTAAATTCATATATTTTAATATAATAATAATAGTTTGGCGCTTACACATATGTTAGTGTTTGGTCGAGCTTCTCCTCCGACTTGTGGCGTGCGCCTTGATGTTGTCACACAAAGCGGAGGGACCTACAGTTTTACGCCGACTCCGAACGGCGATTGTATTTTTATGAGAAGCTGTTTTTCATGGCAGAAATACACTCGGAGGTTTGCCATTGCCTCCCGAGGGACGACCGCTGTTAAGAAAAACCGTTTTCTATATTTTTTGGGATGTTGCTTTGACCTGGGCTTGAACCCAGGTGCTGATGTGTGAAAGCGCGCACTGGTTACCACTACACCACAGCGGTCGACATATATTTTAATAATAATAATAATTCAAATTCAGAATTTCCACTTTAAATTCAGAAAGTTGCAATTCAAATTAAGAAAGTTACATTTAAAATGCAGAATAACCATTTCAAGTTTAGAAAGTTACAATTCAAATTTAAGACATTTTCATTTCAAATTTAGAAATTTCCAATTTAAATTCAGATTCATATTCACTGTACGATATTGAGATTTTAAGTTGTATCTTCGTTTGGGACCATATTCGCCTATGCTAAATCCAATAGAGAAAATATGGTCTAAAGTAAAGTAACTTGTCAAACCAATCACGGATGTGCCCAATGTCTTAGCTACTTCAAACTTGCATTTTATTATATTAAAATGTATGTGCTACAAAACAGCATACAATATGACTAAAAAGTTTAAAATTTTGATGAATATTTGTTAAAATGCGTCGAATGTGTCTTCCCTATTTACATTCTCGCCACAGTACATAAAACCATGATAAAAAAGAAGGTAGTTTCATTTCAAAATTTTTGACAAAAAATATCTTTTTGAAGTTTCATAAGTTGTACAAAATTATGAGCTACCTTGCCACATTGATAGCAATCAAACAATACATTAGATGATTTAATGTTGGGTCTGGGAAATGTTCTGTTATTTGTACAATGATTTTTTGGTTGGGGGTCATCCTTGACCCTCCCTGCCCCTTCTACAGGCACTCAGGGGCCAATTTTAAAATGGGGTAAATTAGCATTTTCGCATAGAAAAATTAAACTCGTTTTAGGCCAGCAGCAGTAATCTTGGACAAAACTTGCTTCCTTATTGTTGTTGTTGTTGTAGCGGCTACTAAGCCCCGTTCGGGGCGGTTCATCCATCAACGTTGTCGTCAATTTCAGCTAGGGGGGGCCAGGAAGTATGCGACTTCCACAGGGGCTGTCCATAGGGACATTGGCGTCAGCTGAGTGGGTTCTCAGGGCATGTGAAGAGGTGCCGGGAGTCATGTGGCGACTATCCACATGCCGGGCATTGGTTGGGCACATCTTCGTTGATTCTATTTAAGTAAGAGTTTAGCCTGCTGCAATAGCCAGAGCGAAGTTGGGCTATTGTAGTGCGGGTCTCCCGAGGCAGACAAAGTTCTGTCCCGTTCACGTCTGGTGGTTGTGTGCCTAGAACGGCATTCACAGGGCGGGAGTCTACATAACTTGAGACTGATTCCCTGTGAATGCCGTTCAGGGCCTGTCGGTAGGTTGACGGGTCCAGAGGTTGTTTGATAAACCTCTGGACTTCGTCCGTCAGTTCGTAAAGATGCCTCCTGACGTGCCGTGGCGAGGGCTCTTCCGCGAGCAGCTGTCCGCTGGGATGGCCACGTCTGTGGCTCCCAGCAAGGAACTGCTTGCAGAGCATTATGTTATGCTCCTTTACTGGGAGCATCTGGGCCTCGTCATGAAGGTGGTGTTGAGGCGTCATCAGGAGGCATCCTGTCGCAGTTCGTAATGCCGTGTTTTGGCAGGTCTGTAGCTTCATCCACTGCGTCCTGCTAGTCCCCGGCGACCATACGGGCGCTGCATAGTTTAGAACCGGCCGGCCAATTGCCTTGTATGTTGCCAACAACGTTTCTTTATCTGTGCCCCAAGTGCTGCCGGCCAGTGACTTGAGGACATTGTTGCGGCTCTGTACTTTGTTGACAATTGCGGTTGTATGCGCCGAGAAGGAGAGCAGACTGTCGAAGGTAACTCCGAGGATTTTCGGGTTATTCACCGTCGGTATTGTTACGCCATCGACGTGAATACCCAGTTGCAGTCTGACCTCCTTAGTCCAGGTGGTGAAAAGGGTTGCCGAGGATTTCGCAGGGGATAGGGCAAGGCTCCTTGCAGTGAAGAAGCGAGAAAGTTCGGAGAGGTAACCGTTTACTTTTGAGCACAAGTCATCAATTCCATTCCCAGACGCCATGATCGAACAATCGTCAGCATATGAGACTATATTAACACCCTCTGGTGGCTGAGGAAGCTTTGATATGTAATAATTAAACAGTAGCGGGGACAGGACACCACCCTGTGGTACCCCCTGTTTAATTTTACGTGGCTTGCTAGTTTTGTCTCTGAAAATTACTGACGAGTGTCGACCACTCAGGTAATTCGCCGACCACCGTTTGAGTCCCTGTGGGAGTGAGGAGGCCTCTATATCTTCTAGTAGCGTTGAATGACTGACAGTGTCGAACGCCTTGGACAGGTCCAACGCTACTAGAATAGTTCTCTCACAGGGGCGGTTTCGGTTTAGGCCACGAGTTATCTGAGTGTTTATGGCGTTAAGTGCTGTTGTTGTACTATGCACTTTACGGAACCCATGTTGATGCTTCGCTGGGGTCAGGTGGTTCGTGAAGTACGGGAGCAGCAGGGCCTCGAGTGTCTTCGCTACCGGGGAAAGGAGAGTTATCGGGCGATAAGACTCTCCTTTGTTGGCTGGTTTCCCCGGTTTGAGCAGTGGGACCACTCTCCCCATTTTCCAGATGTCTGGAATGACGAGAGTGGCCATAGACAGGTTGAGGACCTCCGTTAGGTACGCTACTCCCGCAGGACCCAAATTTTTCAGCATCAACATGCATATTCCGTCGGGTCCAATGGCTTTGGAGGCTTTCGCCTTCCCGATGGCTACCCTTACCTCACCGCTGGTGAAAACAAGAGGCGCACTAGGTTTTGGCATTTTGTGCAGCCTTCTGGTCACTCGACGTTTGGCTTTATCCACCGGAGGATGCAGAATGAACTGCCGGAGTAAATAGCTCGCGCATGTCTCCGGGTCCGACGAAGCGTGGTCACCAAAGTCTATCTCGACTCTGTCGTTGTTGTTGTTGTAGCAGCATACAAGTTCCCCATAGAGTTTTGGGGAGTGTTGCTGGAGTGACAGTCCTTGGCCAGATATAAATCTGGGTCGTTCCGGTTACGTAGACCCGACTGTCGTGGGTCGTCGCGCTTCGTCGGGTTGGACAACGACCTCACGGTTGACCAAAGCTTGCTCACACCAGAGGCGAAGTTGCAGGTCTTCAAATGCTCTTCCCATTTCTTCCGCTTATCTACGTTCACAAGTTGCCGAATACGGGGATTTCCAGGATCGGCCTGGCGAAGGTTGTCACGCTCATCAGCTAGAACAGCCGCTTCGGCAGGAAAATTCGGACGTGGATCCTTAA